AATTATATACGTTTGTTGCTGGAACTATATATATAGTTACTGTTATTATTATTATAGCAGTAATAATCATAATTATAGTAATATATAATTATAGTTACAAATAATAAACATTTTTCTCTCTGTGTACTTTGATTGCTCTCTTGTGTTTACGTAACTAATGATAATAACTCATCACGCAATGAGAATTACGAGATAATCTCTTCCTGATCTCTTCAAGTATCTAAGTCACACGAAGCAATTGATTTTTTATTTTGATTCGTGATGTTGAAGACGAGATCCTTTATTTCAATGAAAGAAGAAAACAGAGACAAGTTTTTAATTTCGATCTTCAGTTTCCAATAAGTTTAAAAGTGTGCGATCGTAATAATGGAAATGCTGAGCACGCAGTCGCGAACGTGATTCTTTTGCCGATGTATGTCTATATCTCTTCTTACTGGAAATCTTAGTTAGAATAGAATTATACGTAGAAAAACGAGGAGTTGCAAAATCCGCAAAGAAAATTAAAATATACATAATTAAACGTAGACAAAGTGTAATTTTCTCTGCATTTCCTGAAAGGCAACAGTGTAGAACTGAAGGTTACATAACAGTTTCAAAAACATTGCAAAAGGACAGTTGTCATGTAAATGCTATTAATTTTCCATCGTAATTATACTCTGAGAAATTTATTTATTAGAATTATTTTATTTTATTTTAATAATTATTGATTAAATAATTATTTAGAATAATTTAGAAACTTAGAAAAATATTTTCATATTTCTATGAGAACAGTTTCACTCTAAGTGATTTTCTCCAAATAAAATATTTTTTAATAAAGGCATATTACTTTAGCGTGCACGCAATAATTAACAATATTTCGCTCAAAGTATGCGTTTCCATTATATTATTACAGGATGCAATCGGTGCAATTATATTATAATTTATCTCTTAATTATACGATTTAAAAAAAGAACCTTGATCTGTATAAAATAAGAGCGATAATGATGATGTATAAACAAGATATCGATCGTTATATGAAAATCGTATAATATGGAAATTATTAATGGTTATATGTAGCAATGCCTCAGAGAACGATGAAGAATTTATGAGGTTTACGAAAGAAATAAATAATTATTTTATCAAATGTAATTTATCAACAAACAGAAAGAAGTTTATGTTAACTCGTGAAAATTGCTCCGGATGTCCGAGATTATCAACATTTTCTGTCGTTATTTTTCTCAACTGATTTATTTTCAAAAATTATGAAAAAATTTCTTATTTTTATGAGAAAAACGTATGGATCGCAAAATCTTGGTGATAAAATAAACAAACATCCCAGTGGAAAAAATGTACTATTCGAGTGCGGGTAAGTATACTATATCTGATAGTGTTTAGAGATCACATTTTCGCACGGCGGACTATCGATAGAATCCGAGAGAGATCCACGCACAAGATGCCAGGGCGAATGTCACTTGCACAATGAGAAAGAAAAGCGCAAAGTCCGTATTCGGACGAATCACCAATGGGCGCGATAACGGTGTGATAGTCGCAAGGAAACATCGCGTAGAAATTTTGCTAGCGTATTTATTCAATCGTAGAATCACCGCGTTCTTTGTTCCTCGATATCGCCACAATGCGCGATGGAGAGGGTTAATTAAAATCTAATAATAGCACTGTCCGCCTGTGGCGTATATAACGTTACGGCAGATGGACTTTACTTTATTTCGAATAAATAAATAAATGAATAAATAAATAAATCGCTTATGACGCGAGAAGATAATTACGAAATTTTTGTCATAGGAGAGAAAAAGAATTAACGAAGCGCCGTGACGCATTTACAACACAACTAGCGATAATCTTAATTCATAGTTGTTTTCGTAAACTACCTAAAGATGTGCGTGTTAATCTTATAATGGACTTTGATTAGGTCAGACGAACGCGAACGAAAAATGAGGATTGCGATAATGCAATTTGACACAAAATATCGGAAGATGGACCCGAAATTCTTTACTCGTGTCAAACGCGTTTCCACACTATAAAAAGAAATGTGTTTTATTCTTGTCTCTATTTTTCAAATACTTAAAGATGTTTTAGTTTTAAACTTTTTCAATAAATAAAATACTACGTGTTTGGATTTAAAACGCATAATGTTTTAAATCCAAACAGTGTTTTGTCTATTTAAAAAGTTTAAAACTAAAACATCTTTAAGTGTTTAAAAAATGGAGTCAAGAATAAAACATTTTAATAACTTAAAATTAAACACTTCTTTTTTCAGTATACTGTCTAGATATCATTGCAATTATGTAAACCAATGCTTATGCTATGCAGTGTATAAATAAATATCACAAAAAGTAATTAAAGTAGACGTCAAAAAGTCTAATGATTTGTCAACCTATATCTCGTTGAGGAAATTCCCTATGTGATCATGCTAATCTCTGGATCACGTTGATCTATCGTGCAACTTATTTGCACGATAAAAATAAGAAAAATTCTCGCTATTTTTTCTTTTTGAATTGAATACCAGTTAAAAAAAGGTTCTTCGACGTTGATAGAGTCAACTGGTTTTAGTATACGAGAATGCTGTTTCAGATCATAAAAAAATATAACAAATGAAAATCTATTTGAAAAAATACATATCGGTAATAAATTTACTTCAATCCGTGATTATGCAAAATATTAGTTCACATCAAAAAGCCCGATATGTATTAATTAAGCCAATATAGATTAATGGATATAGATTAATTAGATTAAGCCAATATAGATTAATGAATATGGATTAATCCGTCATGACGAGAAGATGATTATCTTGAGAGCGAAATATGCAATACAGTATCATATGCGTATTTAATTTTATTGTATAAATATCTGTTTTGTTCGTTTGTAAACTTTTCTCAAGCGACGAAATTAATCCCGAGTTCTTACACAATAATCAGCATGATTGGAACCTTGATAATATCTCTTAATGTTTGTTCGAAGATCAATGCGATTGAGATAGTATAAAGGAACAAAGTATCAAGCATCGAGTGGGTACAAAGTCTTCTTGATGCAACATTAGCGATACTTAAGCGTCTTTAAAGTCGGTAATACACGCGCTAAAATATTCAAGATTAGAATATAATATATCGTTGACTTATTTTTCTCATGGATGCGATTAACATACCAGTAAATTTCATAATGTGTTTCTATCACGTTTAAGTGCAAAGTTTGACAGCAAAGATCGACTTAAAGAAGTCGTCCCGATTGGTTTTTTTGCTGATATTCAAGACATTTTGTATCGTTGAAATAAGTATATCTTTTTTTTTATAATTGACACTCATTTGCGATATTGATCATTATATTATTTCTTTTATCACGGTCTAGATTGCAATAATTGATCGTAAAACACGTGAAATGGAATATAATTACTCTAATATTGCAAAAAAACGTATTTAAACTCGTTATCTAATAATTAATTATTCGAAAACATTTGAAATGATTCCTGGCAATCTACTAAAGGCTTCAGATTAAAGGCCTTATTGTAAATAGATGGTCGGCAACAATAAAGTTCAAATTCCAAAGTATCTCTAGATTCTTTTCACGATTATCAAGCAGGATGATTTATCAGTGATTATCGTGGAAAAATCACAGCTCTTTGGTCAAAATTATTAGTTTGATGGAATCACAAAAATTTTTTAATTACTAAACTTCCTTTTTTTAATTCCGCAATCAGTTATAATGGTTTAAAAATTTCACAGTACTTAAACAACAAGTTCAATAACAGATTTCTTTTAAACATCTTACGCATTGCGTAATTAGAAAGTAAAATGTCATAAATGCGAAATTACAGTTCAGTAAAAAGAAAATGAAAACATCAAACATGTGAACGAGGGTATTCTGATAACACTGAATTATAACGTCACTAAACATAATAATAATGATAAACAATATTACAGCATTGCCCTAGTTGTAGTGTTCTATGCGAGTGCATTGCATTGTTCTCTCAGGTTGCAAAATTTTGAAAATTTTTGTTGTAAAATTATCGTTTATTGAATTTTCCCTTATTACTCAACATCATTATCCATTATTGTAACGCGACAATTTAGATCATGTTACAGATTGTGAAGCTTGAGGGATGCTTATTTCTTATTTAACTTACGGATATATGAATTTAGAAAGTTGCAGCAAAATATAAAAAAAAAACAATATTAAAATTGAAAATCGATGGGATTAAACACATGAGTGAAAAAATGTTACATTCGATATTATTCGGTCAAAGCAGTTCTTCGTGTCTAATAACATTTCGTCACAATTTTTGCTTGAATTGGAAATTAATTATGTATGAATTTACAAAAAATATTATCATTATAGATACGAAAAACTACCTTGACCGAATATAATATTTTTCATTCAAGGAGAAGAGAAAAGTATACAATTTTAAGAACTCACCTGTTAATTCCATTACTAAGCAATCCGTTCTGCATGCTATTTTTCCCACCTTCCACCATGATTGAAGTTACGTTGTTCCACGCACGTTTGATTTACGATACATACGACACACAGCTGGAATTAAAAAAGAAGATATTAATGCAAACACACAGAAGGCCGCTTATACATATATGTCGATATTCTGTGGAAACAAGGATGTCTGTTGTAATTGCAATCATATAAAAAATTACTTATTCATTGTAGAATACTTACGATAAAATATTAACGTCATACAGAAAAAACAGATTTCGCAAGAATGATTCCAGAGATAATCAGAAAAATGATACACATGAGAAAAGATACGCAAATTTTTCACAAAAAAATTATGCATTTTTCGTTACATAATTTTAATTGTTACTTTAATTGCTATTAAATAATCTACTTCTCTAACTCTGGTAGTTGCTATTATTTTAGAAGTCATGATAAAATATCACGTGCATAAAAATTACTGTATTTTTATGAGATTAAAAGGATTATTTAGAATATTGTGGAACTTACAACTCAAGAAATGACATAATTATTTAGTTATTTTATTTTGATTTATTAATTCGCAGTTTACGTTTCAAACGAGATGTACATCTAACTTATCAACATAAATCAATGTCCATTGATTGATTTGTTTCTTTGCTCTTCAATGCTTCTTTTGATCGCACGTCGTTTTCTAATTATAGGAGTTACTTCATCAAGGTTGATGCAACTGACAGACGAAGTTCATGTTCAACATTGCAAATAGCATTTTCTTGTAATATTGCGCGCATCTTGTGCAGTCACAATTGTGAGCGATTGTGTGTAATTCAGTTTTCATTTACGGATGATTACTGTGGAGTTCATGGGTACGGTATTATATATGTATGGGAAAACACAGAGTGCGATCCATTATTCATCAACATTATACATACATCAGCGTAGAGGTAATCAAACGCGTTTCATAATATCCTTTTTCGCCATCTCTTCGTCGCGCTTGCTACCTAGACAACTAAATAACCGGTACTTATTTTGTTCAAGGGCATACTTATTTCTTAATATTTAGGGTTTTCGAATTTATCGCGAAATTTAAACTGACTTTGAAACGAAGGATATTTGCTGCTTTCCATTCAGCATGTTTACATTATTCATTAATTATGAATTAACATTAGCCCTTATCTTCGTTCAGAGAAAGAGATAATTATTTTAATTGGCTACATTACTGGTATATGTTAACTACGTTTTTATCTTCTCAAAATTACGCAGTTCTATGCCACGAGTAAAATAAGGCGAACGTGAATTTATAAATTCAATGAAGTTATAAATACCTTCGTGTTTCCATTAGAATCTTTCTATTTCTCACGTGAGCATGTTGAAAATGCAGAATTATTAAGGAAATATGTCGAACGTCTCAAAGAACGAATGATACAAAGCAACGCACGCAGTTTTATCGTAAATTACGGAAAATATTCCAAGTAGGCTATTTTCTCCTCGGCCTGATGGTACACGTGCAACGCACACCGCTGACAGATAACGATAAACGCTAACATAGTACCGTTACAGCTGACACGATATAATGGCCGAAACACGCTAGCGATGTATCTCATGCAACTTTCACACACCCGTTAGAATACATTGCTCTTAAGTAACTGACTTTTATTTAGTTTCTAAATCTCTAATAAGCATAATTCATTTAATTTCTATTATAACTATAATTTATTTAGTTTCTAAAATCTCTATATTCTCTTTGAAAGTTACTCTTTTCTTTTATCGAAGTTATCAATTGCTAGATATTTCGAAATATCAAACGTAATAAATCTCTAATAAGTACAATTTATTTAATTTCTGTTATAACTATAATTTATTTAGTTTCTAAAATCTCTATATTCTCTTTGAAAGTTACTCTTTTCTTTTATCGAAGTTATCAATTGCTAGATATTTCGAAATATCAAACGTAATATATCTCTAATAAGTACAATTTATTAAATTTCTGTTATAACTATAATTTATTTAGTTTCTATTGTAAGAATAATTTATTTAATTTCCAAAATCACACCATATTCTCTCTGGAAGTTACATGTTTTTTTTATTAAAGTTATCAATTGCTAGATATTTCGAAATATCAAACGTAATATATCTCTAATAAGTACAATTTATTAAATTTCTGTTATAACTATAATTTATTTAGTTTCTATTGTAAGAATAATTTATTTAATTTCCAAAATCACACACTATATTCTCTCTGGAAAGTTACATGGTTTTTTTATTGAAGTTATCAATTGCTAGATATTTCGAAATATCAAACCGACTAAGCATTAATATGCATATTAATACTTGTATACTTGCATAATATTTTAATTAGAATGATATAACCACTGCGATTATATTTCCTTCTTCGCGAATATGTAAATTTCATCTCAATTTTATTCCAAATAAATTATCATTGTATATCATTTTAGTGTAATAATAATTTATTAACGATAAGAGGTATAGATAACTTGGTTTCGAATTTAAATAAAATTCTCGCTGATTAATTTGCAGAATGCATAATGTTTGATGCTTTTAGCTTTTTTCCATGTTCGAAGATGATTCACTTTTTCAACAAGATCGTCATGATTCAAACTAATCATACCAACACAAAAGTATAATAACAAATATAAGAATTCTTACATTTGTTATATTTAATTCTTATATTTGAATTTTAAAATTCAAAACTATCGGACCTAATCATTACATTTAAATATTTTGTCGATCTCTTGAAATATCTCTTTAAATATCCTATCTAGTGCTATATTCCGAATCTCTCTCCCAACATGATTGATTAATGATTAATGAAACTATTAATGAAACTGTCATTATTAGTGAAACGCACAAATATCTCAGATATCATTGAAGTAACGAGGATAATTAATTTATAGTTACCTGAATGTGCCGCGCGCAACTCCGCTCTCTTTGCAAGTTTCGATTTCGTGAAAAAACCGGTGCAATTAGCTCTGTAAGGAGAGCTCGGGGCGAGAAAACGATGGATTGGACCCAAAGGACAGAGATGAGCGACGCGACAACGCTCTCACGCGTGTGTTAATTCGCAACGCGACATTACACTAAGTTTGCCGATCGATCGTACGCCGGTTACGTCGTCTTCTAACCGGCTCGGACCTCGACGTCCCCGTTCATGGACCTCGCGCAGCGGATTGGTCGTCGATAAAAGCCGTTTTGGCGTCGACAAACTTTGACACTCGCCGCTTCTCTCGGCCCCACCAAGTCGCGAAAGGCGCGAACGCGTCCGTTCGCCATTCACGCTCTGTGGCCTTTAATCGTACGTTTTTGTATGCGTGTGTGGCTCGGGCGTGTGACGTACTTTGACAGCGAGTCAGCTGACCAACCGAAGCTCGGCAGCATGACGCATGTGCGATGGGCTCTTGTGTGCTAAATATACTTACAGACAGGGCTATCATTATTTGAAATACTTTTATTTAAAAAACAGTATTGGTAAGACACACAAATATATTTTGTATTTTGTGTTTGTTCAGAGTACATGAAAATATTTTGTATTTCATGGGAACATATAAAAATGTTTTGTATTTTGTATTTCGATATTAATAACAAAAGATTAAAAGTATTTTGTATTTTGTATTTCAAACACTAACATTGACAATCAACTTTATTATTTCAATTACAAAAATCTTTCAACCTAAATACAAAAATACATAATACTTTTATGTGATCCGCTAAAATACAAAATACGCTTGTATTGTAAATAGTGTGTTTTAAATAAAAGTATTTCAAATACATGCCCAGCCCTGCTTACAGATTTGTGTGTCATACACAATTGGAATCAGACGAGGCATATACATCTCTGATGATTCTTTAAAATAAAATTAGAACGCAATTTAGATCATTCGCAAAGAGCGATTATGACTAAGTCAAAGTCTCACTATAAATGCTTTGAAACGTTTGATTAAATGACCAATTAGAAGAAAGAATTTTACGAATTGACTAGTTAAAAAACGCTTTAGAGCATTCGTAACATCGCGTTGACCTTATGACATTATGCTGGATTCACACTGCATCCGATTTTCACCAAGCTCAGTTAACTTAACTGGCCAGTTAGTCCATCGGAATTGACAAATGCGATTGGTCAATTCCGATGGACTAACTGGCCAGTTAAGTTAACTGAGCTTGGTGACAGTGGCCCTTAAAGTGTTAAAGCAATTGCGATCATTGATGCACGCACGTGACATCTTCATGCAGTTGAAAGCTTTTATCAGCTATCGGTGTGGCAGTTAACTGCTCTTGAAGAATTGATAACAATGTTTATAAAGAAATTGCACAAGTTATAAAAATATACGTATCTTCTTTTAAATTATTTTTTAAAATAAATATTATTAGTAGATAATATTTATCACTTCAAAATAAATGCTTTAGAGAACCTTGTAAATATCCATTTGTTTATATAATAAGACTTATAAAGATTTCTGAGCATCCTAACACCATCTTGCGATTGTCGAACGAGACATACTAGGTCTGGCTAAATTTAATCGTGAATGTTTGAGAACTACGATACATCGAGCTATTATTTTTAACTCCTTCTACGAAATTCTACGACAAAATGTACGAGCAATTTTTGATATATTTGCACATAAAGGAAATATAATGAAATATGTACATCACAAACTATAATTTATTCACACACTAAAAGTGGGAAGATAAAACAGTCGTTTATATATAACAGTAAGAAAACTCCATTTTTCGCAGACATAAAATATGTATGCTTCCTTCTTATACATACAACATGTGTGTTTCCTTTTTATTTATTACATTTTCTTCGGACTTTAGAAATAAAAGACATGGTAAATTACAAGAACAGTTCTTCCTTGACTTCGTCATCGTACTTGCCGCCAGAATATTAATATTTAATTTCGACGCAACTCTTCAAGTGTTCTCCAGTCACGTGACGATTATTTTCGTTAGTTTAACGGAGTCTCCTGGCCTCTCGTTCGGATTCCAGCAACGTCAGAATGTCACCTTCGCGCACGGGACCTTTGACATTTCTAATTAGCTGTCTGTTCTGCTCATTCAGGAATTCTACTTTGACCTGCGTGCATTGTCCTTGAGAGCCCGTCCTGCCCAGGACCTTCACTACTCTCGCCCGCACTATAGGTTTCTCCATACTCTCGTTATGTGGGCCTTTATCTTATCAGCACGTAGAATAACTCTCGCTCGTGTTGCAATATTCGCAATCCGTGCTACACTGAACGTGCAAATCGCTTGGACCAACTTGGACCACATGCGGACCACATGCAGATCAAATATCATCTTGGCAACGTTCCAAAGAAAGAGAGATATAGTAAGCCAGAAAGTCTTGGAAAGGATTCCGTACTAACTGTATGGAAAATTAGGTCCCACTGAAATAAGTTCATTTTCACGTATTTACATTGTATTAGTTTATAATATAATGTGATGAACAAAAGATGTAATAGACGCAACAAGGCTTAATACGTAATAGATAGTTTTTCAATGGCGTTTCAGACCACACGCGTTGTCTAGAAGACTTCTTTGTGATGTCTCTTAGATATCTTTTAGACGTATATATCCCAAAAGACGTCTTTATGACGATTTTATAACGTATCTTTTAGACATGCAGTTGTCTAGAGTATCAAAGATATAAAATAGAACACTTGATACGATACATCATATTCAAAAACTATCTATTATTAAGCCTTCTATTACATCTTTTGTTAATCACGTTATAAGCTACAATACGTGAAAACGAATTCTTTTTATCGGTCCCTAATTTTTTGTTTTTGCGAGATCTTTTTGTAAAGTGCGCAGACAACGTGTAAAAAACGTTAATAAAAAAATGAGTAATATAACAAATTTTTTTCGTTCACAATTATTTAAAATGACTTAAATTTATTCAAGATTAATAATTCAATAACAACGCTGATAAAAGAGATATTTGAAATAAAAATGACCTGTATTCTACATTGGCTATACTTATATGCACGTGATTTCGATGCTACTCCCCGGTAAAAAGTTTTTCAAGCATGAATATGTATAAATATGTCTAAATATACACAAACACGTATAAATATTTATAAACATGTATAATTATATATGAAATATGTCCATATATTCATACGCCCCTTTTTCTTTTGTAAAATTACTTTTTAATGTAATGGAAATAGTAATAGTAATGTGAAAACATCAAAAATAATTAAAGGGATAATTTTCGCATTGTTCGTTTTAGAAGAAAATGAGTTTGAAAAAATGAAAAAAAATTGTTCATACACAATTATACATAATTTTATATATAATTATAAATACATAAGTAATTTTTTACATTTCTTCAAACTTGATTTTTTTCTAAAACAAATAGTGCGAAAATTACCCTTTTAATTATTTTTAATGTTTTCTCATTGCTATTATTATTTCTATTACATTAAAAAGTAATTTTATAAGAGAAAAAAGGATGTATGGACATATTCCATATAAAATTATGTATGTTTATGAATATTTATACATGTTTAGGTATGTTTATACATAATTATACATATTCATGCATGATAAATTTTTTACCGAATCTCTTGACGTCGATTCGAAATCTGCGATTCAGCAACCGTCGTAAATACTTCTCGCTAAAACGAATATTATATAACTTATACAGAATATTTCTACGTCATTTCTCCATTTACTTCATCCAGACCCAGGATAATTAATTTCAAAGTCGACACTTCATCAGCGAAAATGTGACGTCAATAAGTAAACTGTCTGAATAACGGGATTTCACGCAAAAAAAGCAACTCGTTCATTGATACAATCGTTTATTCATTTGTGCTTTAGTACAAACGTGACGTCCCTCGATAAATTCAAGACACGCAGTACATTAGCGCCGAAGGTCCGGCGAGGTTCTTCACCCCGTTTTTTCCTCATCTCATTCTGGAAAAAGATCTACCCTACGCCCGCGTCTCTCTCTGTACACACACACTCGCGCACAGTCACACGATGCATTCACACGATGCATTCACATTCTTTCTGTCGTATAAAATCACGGTAGTGGAAAAAGATTGCGGTATTCGGTATGAATGTCGTGTAATGTTATACATTGGATATCGATGTATGTATACATGTGTATGTGTGTGCGTTTGGACACGTGATATAATCTATAGCTAGAAGCGACAAATGGGTTGAAATGAATTCTTACATATTGCACCCTCGTATCTTCCTATGCATTTTGCGTTTCCTTCTGTTTCACGAGCGGAATCATTACGGGTTTACAATAAAGAATTCGCGCGTTTGCTGATTACGCTCGTGAAGCTTGAACACAGAGCGCGTGTGGTATGATAAAAAAAAAAAGTACAATCTAGATCGTTATATTTTGATCTCTTTCCGTGCACACTGACCTTTTAGAGCGCGACTTGCGCGATATTATATACTTACGACTTATGAGATTTGATATAAACAGGAAATTATATATCACAATCGAGCATGATCGGGATTAGCTGCTAATTATCAAAAGAGACGATCGAACGTCAGCGTACTGTAAAAGTTCAGATCTCGATTGTATGAGTGAATCGAGAGAAATTTACAGTACACAATAATATTGCTATATGAAGATAGTGCGCGCTTTTTCGGGATAAAACTTTCCAAAGCAGCTTATCGAGGTCTGTTAACGGTTATCAATTTAACAACATATCCCGTACGTGCATGTGAATCTATCATTGGGATATCATATATTTACAAATGCCACCGTAAACACGAACTTTTTATCGCAGCGGATAAAACTTTCTTTTATACCTAAATGTCATGTAACATTTGCTTTTTCTTTTGGTTAACATCAGGTCATTGACATTCTACGTAATCACGCAGAAAGCTAATTAACCAATATATTTTTGGCATGATATATAAACAACCCATTCATTTGTCAATTCAGCAAACAGTATAGAAATTAAGTTTTGCAATATAATAACATAATAACAAAAAACATAATAATTTAAAGCAGTAAATTTTTGTTCTAATTGTCTCCTTTCTTGTATCACTATCGAGATAATTATGCCATATATTTTTTCGACGACGAGTAATAAGTACAAATACAATTAATGAGACCTTAAAAGATATATAACTCTAAAAGTATAGAAATTTATTTTTTCACCTTGCAGACTAATGCACATATCTTTTAATTTAATACATCGAATATTAAAATCATATAACGCGAAAAGCATACGTGCAAATTCTTCAGCGAAAAACGATATTTGATTCTGCATTTCAATGCTGGAAAAATATATTTTACAATAGCCAGACTTCTAAATCTCAGTAATATTTCCAAAGATATACATATTTAGCAACGTTATATAGTACTATATCATTATAATAGTTTTTGAAATAAAATGGAATAAAATTATCATATATGCGTGAATTGTAATTATAAATTTTTTAGAAATTAATGTCTACTGCAGTATCATCTAAAAATTGTTCTAAATTCGAAGAGTTGTCACATGGCAAGAAAGAGGAAATTATTATACAGTCATTATACAATCATTATACAAGATAACACATCAAATAATATCGGGCGGTTCAAAGAAATTATATCTTGACTAATACAATATTTCATATTTATACATAAATCTAAGTACTCAAACTTAAGTATTTTTTTCCATATTGCTATACAATCGGTTTCTGGTAATGTATAATAATAAAGTGATAATGTAATAAAGAAATGTGTGTGTAAAGTAAAAATAATATCAAAATATAAATACTGTTCCTATCACTTACGTGGATAACGAATGTAATTTTGCTATATATATAATTAGCTAAACAATGTTACCATTACCAATAAACACAATATATACTTGTAATAGAAAATATTGCGAGATTATTAAGTAAGATATACAAAATTATAACTTTCACGATAGACTGTATTGCCTTGTCGTTCTGCCCTCGTTGATATTCATTCATTGATACAGATAAAAAAGTGGGAAACAATATTCATTGTTATGTACATCTATAGCATTGTGCGTAACATATAAAAAATATCGTAACTAATGTTCTCTTTTACTCTTTAGAAATAAAACACGCCCTCATCCCTGTAAAATCAACATCTATATTACATATATCGCCTCTTCCTGTTGATTACGGCCACACCAATTAATATTAACAACGTTTGCAGCGAGCTCGATTGTATGTAAAACCAATTGAAAATATCTACAACAGTTTTAATCATTGCCATCTCCGTCAATTGTTGAATAAATAAATCCGAAGGGTATACTGGCGCATAGGCCGCAAATCGTATTATTAAAAAAACAACATTTTCTCTCTCTCTCTCTCTCTCTCTCTTATTAACGCACAATTTATCTCATCTTTTGCTTTATACAACTATATAATTCTTCCATTGCTCAGATTTTTTATAGACTATGATAAGTGTAACAACACTTAGTACTCGCACTTAGAAGCAACGCTCAGGCAGCTAGTGATTGGTCAAGTGTGAGCTTTTTACAATAAACGCTTCTCTTCCCCATCCTTTCCTCCTTTATGATAATAATTATTAGCTATTAGATAAATCATTGATGAAATTACGATATGAAGAAAGAGCGATTAAGTGATTATATGAAACGACGCGATTTCTATAATCGTCTTGATAAAATGTCGTAAACGATCATTGCTCTCGGTGTTCGCGAATTGCTGCTGTTCGAGATATTATTATGATCATAAAATATAAATAATGCGATTCATTTACCACCGAAATACCTGTCATAGCCACAATTGAACGTGGCGAACTATGTGTAAGATGAGAATGAAAGACTTGTTTTAACGATCCGTGTGTCCTACCCTGCCTACCTATAGAAATCACTATTTTGTTCGCGTTCGCGTTCGTTGGAGGGACACGGAGTCTCAAATGGGCCTAAGGCTCCTGGCGAGTTCGTAGTAATTGGCTATAAACGTTCGCGGTTTTAATTCGATACCGGATAGCCCGACACATTGCCGTCGCGAATCGGCTTACTGTTGTCAATGCGCAATTGAAAGTAGCCTAACTCCTGCCTGGACTACTTACTTAAATGCCTATCTAAGATTACGATTCGTTTTTAATCAGATTCGAGTTTTCGTCACGGTAACTCCTGGTAGCTACTTTACTTACTCGAACTAACGAAGTACGATAGTGTGTCATCTTATGCCAACGGCAGAGATCATTTGGTTTGGTACCAAAAACACCACTACTATCATTAATTAAGCACCCCTCGAAGCGTTAACGCTACATCATTGGAATTCATA